ACCACTTTCATAACAGGCTGTAACTCCACCAATATGGATGCCGGGGAGACGTCCAAGGTACCGTTGGAAAGCTGGCGTCACGTAGAATCAGGGCGCCGAGTATCAGATGCTGCATCTGCAGGACGCCCGCGGAATCTGGTGTTCAAGTCAGCACTCCACCAGGGTAAAGACCACTTTCATAACAGGCTGTAACTCCACCAATATAGCTGCCGGGGAGACGTCCAAGGTACCGTTGGAAAGTTGGCGTCGCATAGAATCAGGGCGCTGAGTATCAGATGCTGCATCCGAAGCTCACCTGAGAGATCTCGCGTCAAAGTCAGCACTTAACGAGAAGCTCGCTAACTTGGCAAAGCAGGTTCAGTAAACAAACAAGTCCGGAATGTAGGGGAGCTGGTAGGCTGGGAGCCAGTAGGGGTCGAGCCAGTTGGCGGGGAGCTGGTAGGGGGGGAGCCGCTAGGGGGTAAGCCGGTAGGGGTGGAGCTGGTAGGGAGGAGGCAGTAGGGGGGTGGTAAAGGGGGAGCGGCTGGCAGCTGTGTTCATCACTCGGAATCACAGGATGGTAACTACTAGTAGTTGGCATCACTTACTTAGGATTTAATCTGGATGTGGCGCTTCCTAGTAGCATGAGCACTAGGACGCAACCTGACTTGGCGCCCAACTACCAGATGTACAGGACGCAACCTGACTTGGCACCCAACTACCAGACGCACAGGACGCAACCTGACCCGGTGCCCGAGTTCCAGACGCACAGGATGCAACCAGACCCGGCGCCCGAGTTCCAGACGCACAGGATGCACAGGACGCAGAATTCTTTCTACTAGCGTCAGGACGCACTGCCCGCGCACCTGACGCAGGAATAATTTTTGCTGATGTGGTACAAGAGTGGAAAGGCCTCTCTGCAGACGATATTAACAGACTGATCGCTTCTATGCCATGCCGGATCGCTGCTGTCATAGAAGCTCGGGGTGGAAATAAATTTCATGGGTAGCAGGAAATGGTCAGATTCAGGTATGTATCCCCACTATCCCAAGTACTCGGGTATGGACATGGGATACTGGATAGCCAGGGATTAGAGGTGTCAAAGCTTCTTGCTTGTTTGAGCAATTCTCATGCCAGACTCATTCCTTTATTTCCTATGAGGGCAAGGATGATCAGGCTTCAAGAATTCCTAGCTGTCTAGCATCCCACATCTACATCCAAGCACTACCTGTGACACTTCCTTGAAGCTGAAAACTAAGTGGAATAGAATGACAACTAGCTAGGGAATGATGTAGGTAGAGGAATGATGGTAGGAAGGTTTTTGAGAGAAAGGCTAGGGATTAGAATAAGATGGGGAGCAGGCAGAATTGCATCCAAGTCCACAGTAAGAGCCAGGTGAAATTAAGAGAAAATAGGATGAACGAGTACTAAGAACTTTTTTTTGGGGGGGCTGCTTGTTATTTTTCTTATTTTTCACCGCCATTTCCTTCTAAAATCATTAGCATTCTGAGTTGCCCTCTGGCAGAGGTGGAGCTCATAGCTGAAAGTAGAAAAGTCGGTAGCTACTCTTTGTACCTTTTTGGAAGTCTCTCCTGGGACTGGCGTTCCTATTAGCACTCAATTCCGAATACACGATGACACTACAAGTACTGATATCGTGGGAACAGGGTTGATGGACACTCATTCTCCATCTTCCAGCGCCATACCGTAAAAACTTTTTAAATTTACCTTTTCCCTTCCGCCTCGGAACTCCCCCTGACCTCGTTAACTAGTATTCGTAACTTTGTTAACTTGCTCTACCAAGATTATTGTTGTTTAGTACAATGATCCGCGTTGAGGTAGCCGGTGGTGGATTTAACGAGTTTTGGGGGTATTCTGGAGCGACGGCGTCCCCGCCATAAAAAAAAGTTAGAGCTCAGAATCTCGAAGCTTTGGCAGTCACGCCCAAGTGATGTTAGGGGGGGACAAGGGATGCACAATTCAAAATTCGTGTAGCGAAGTATGGTTCAAGCTGGCCAAAACGTGCACCAGGCTCAAAAAAAAAAATGATACGTGGCTGTGCTACCTAAAATGCCAAGCTCTAGGACTAGGGTTTGATAACAAGGTTTTATTTTGTATATTAACTAGTTCACTAGTTGAAAGAGGGATGTAATGATACAATCTATATATTATTATGATGATAATATTATGATACATAATTCCACCAAAGTCACATGATGACAAATTTTTTTACAGTCACATGATCATCAGCCCTCTTTCAACAGAGTATCATGTAGGGCTTTGGACACTGGCATCCTACTTTGAATCCAAACTGGAGTTGCACTGCTGTCTTGAAAATCTAAAGAGAACGCAAACCCCGACGCAAAGTTTAGGGCCATTTAGAGAAGTGGCTAAATGTTCTGCTTTATTGCATCGCAAAAAGCCCGCCTCCGGATCCCGAAGCGTAGCGAAGGGCCATTCGGAGCGCCGGCTGGTAATAAAATAAGAGACATGTAAAAATATCATGATATTCAAGTTACTGGTATATCAGGTATACTAGTATTGAAAATAAGTTATATTATATTAATTAATTCTAATCCATAATGCTAACATATACTTATATGTGGTTGCAAAACCTGTATTATAACTTACATGATTTAGGTTTTCGAATACTATTAGTAGAAATACTGTTGAAATCCTAACTTGCAAGTATAATTCATATGCCCTACAGACTTAAAGAGTGTGGCTGGTGCAACACTTTTTTGCATTTTATACCAAAATTCCAACTTTTCAAACTCTATAGGCAAGTTGTTAGACAGCACAGTGATAAATGAAAAACCTAACTACTGTTCTCCTTCATCCTCTCTTTAATAGCTAGGTTTTTTTTATTTCAATTAGTCTAGTGGTTGCTGAGCCTATAGTGTTTGAAGATGACGAAAATTCTAGTGCATATTTTGGCTGGCTTAAACCATAGCTTCCCTGCCTTTCAAACAGACTTCTAGCGTTCCCTTCTGGGTGGCTCAATAAACTTTCTATTGTTAGATAAAGGGGGGCACCGCCAAACCCGCATGCTGCGACCCACTGCATTCCGTCCAACTTCCGAGCCGACCCCGGTGCCGGATCTCATTTTTCGGGTTCGTAGTTCATAAACCCCAAACCTCTTGTTTGAAGCGCATGAATCCGGCGTTGTGAGACCCCATTGAGTTCTTGAGAAGATTCGGCAATCCGAACCCCACGGGCCGTGGATACTCTTGTGGGCTCCAAAATCTGGATAGGGGTCTTCAGTTGCATGGCTCAAGCAAAACTTTAAAGCTGGTCTTTATGGATGGAGGTTGCCAAGTTCTTGGCTGAGAAATGATAGTTTAAAACAGTTTGGATACTATGAACTTGAAGTGACCTATGAGAATATCAGCTATGGTACTAGATTAAACAGTAACCACGATTATATGAGATACCTAGGAACCTGTGAGGATACTTTCCTATTTGTATATCAGCTTAGAGCCCCGCTGTGCGTACTAAACTGCCTATATTTCTTTCTAAAAAGACAAATCCGCCGCATGGCGAGTCTACTCTATCGCCCTCCGCTGTTCTCGAAGTGTGGCGGTTTGTTGGCCCTTGCACGACACCCTCTCGTTCTCCCGGGTTCGGCGTTTGCCGAGGTGAGAACAGGAGGCGGGGGCAATAATCTACTTGTACATGTACTCGAGTACGGGTATGATAGCATGATAGAGCACGGTATTCGGATCTAATCAGATCCCATCTCCATCTACCCTAACCCTGCCCTCCCGCCGACCACGAAGCATCCCTGCTAAGCCCGGCGGAATGCAAAAAAATCAGAAAAGAAGAAAGGAGAAACAAGCCAGGAAGGGGACAATAAACGGGTACCAAACAGCCGGAGTCTCTATATTACCGATTCGCGATGGGGGTGGCTCAAGGCCCAAGACTAACGTAAAGCCAGTGTAAGGCCAATTTTATGGGATTAGGAGGGGGCTGAATTTAAAGGCCCACTGTTTCCAACCCCTCTAGGCCTCGAGGTTGCTCTGCTGGTTAGAATGTAGTATATTATACTTTGTCAATCATTGCTCGTGGTCGTTATTATTTTGCTTTGGGAACGAGGCCAGTCAGCCAAGTAGCTCGTCTAGTTGAGCATACGCAGGACCGGTACTTTCAGAATCCCACGCTCCATTTTGTTCCAAGGTAATAGCCTATTTACTCAAGTATGGAGAAACAGTAGAGTTCGGAATAACTCTAGTTAATACTAAAAAATTAGGTATTTCTGTCTAGTTCATGCTGGAGTACTCGCCGATTCAAAGGTATCGGTAACTTAAGTGCTTTGGTAGGAGATCCCTGTGAGGCTGATAGCTGCGGTAGCCGAGGCAAGAGCGGAGGTTACCCGGACTGAGCCGTGGTAATCTTGGCACGAGTTCTCAGGAAGAAACCACAAAGCTTCTGGAGTGCCAGGTTGAGCGGCAACACCAGGCCAACGGTAGGTCAAGGGCCAACACCTCGATTCCCAGAATGACCTCCGATACTGCCCCAGGAGTTCAACACCGTGAAGGCCTTCATCCGACTCCTACAGTTGCTGCGACACCTCACCTCCACCCCGCCCATGAGCTCCATCCTCCCGAGGTCGCTCCGGGAGACAAACTTTTGAAGAACGGCACCTCCGGTGAACCTCAGGAAAGCTTGAAGAGGTGCTACGGAGTGGGGGAAGGTGACACGGGGCAAGATGGGTCGGTGGGGAGTGCTAATGGAAGTCGGGACAGTAATTCAAGCTCGATCGACCCGATAGTTCCCCTTCAACAAACATCGTCAACAGCTTCGTCCGAAAATTCTTGGTTGTCCATGGCGGACGAACCGCAGCAGCTCCCTACTTCAGAGCCAACCAAAAGCAAAGATAAACTCCGGGCTGTTGGGACACCTATTACTGAAGTTGACAAGGTTCTTAAGCTCTCGCCTACTCGGCTGGGGGAGCTTGTAAGCGATAACCCAGGACCACCAGTTTTACTTCGTCCAGCTTCTCCAATATTCACCCGTTTACCTGCACCGCCCGAACTGCCAGGAGCACCTAGGTCGCGCCACAGGTCGGCAACAAACCCACTCAGTACCTCACCAGTGACCTTTAAGGTCTCATCGACTGCGCGTCCCCATCTCGCACCCCAGGAGCGCACACTTTCAGCTCTTCCGGGGATGAAACGGTCAAGGTCCTCCCCACGCGCATTGCAACTTAACACCCAAAGTTCCAATAACCGGCCACCCCAGCAGCAACGAGGACGAGCCACCGAGAAGCCAGGAGTTCCAATTTCTCCCCAAAAAACATTCGATACATTTTCCCCAGCGCTGCATTTTGGCTCCGATGGCGCTAACGACCCAGCATCAGCAAAACCCGCAAACAATTCAGTGCATACAAATCGAGAGAACGGGGTAGTTTCCTCGGCGCAGTCTCACCCCCCCACGACTACACACCTTTTGAAAACCGCCACGCCTACACCCGCATCGTTCCCACCCTTACCTATACAAAGATACCTTTCTCTAGCTCTCTCCTCACCAACATCCTCAAGCGCTCCCCCATCTATGAACTTTACATCCGAGCCACCAGCAAGACTACATCAGCAGACGCAGACCTACGGCCCGCCACAGCACCATCCAGACGACACGGCAGAGATTGCAATAGAGCGAATCATGAACGTTCTTCTCCTTCCACCCAAGCTTGAGGGTGCGCTTTGGTTTGGGGCACTTGCTTGCTTAGATAGTTGGCTATACATGTTTACGATATTGCCACTGCGATTCATGCGAGCTCTGGGCTTACTCTGTACGTTTTGGTGGGGGGGGTTAATGGGGTATTGCACGCGTAGCAGAAGAGATGTGAAAGATCACAGACCTAGAAGCAGGGGTAGTAGCAACATAACTAAAGGAGATGTGAACAAGTGGGAGAAACCCAAGAGAGATAAACCTCTTAGTTCTAGGAGGAAGGCGGCGAGGGTTTCCGACCTTTTGCCTAGCCACAAGGCAGATATATTAAGAGGATTAGTGGTTTTTTGCACATGTTGGATACTCATGAGGTTCGACGCTAGTCGAATGTATCATTCAATCAGAGGCCAGAACGGTGTCAAACTATATGTCATATATAACATGTTAGAGGTTTGGGAACCTCCCCGATTTTCCAGATCAAACATCTGCTAATTCCATAGAACCCGATAGATTAGCGATAAGTTATGCTCCGCATTAGGGCAGGACATTTTTGAATGCCTCTTCTCTAAAGAGACACTTGAACGGGGGTCGGACGGTCGTAGCAAGTTATTGAGGCCCTTTGGATTCTTCCTGTTAGGCCTAGCTTATAATAGTAACATCTTTCCGTGCCCCACGCCGAATATTGGATCCGTGAGCTAACATGCAACCACAGCGGCTCACTCCACGGCTCTATTCTATCAAGTTATTACCCTCAATGTCGCTGTGAACTCATATTCTAACGCTCTCGTTACACTTATCCTCTCGGTCCAATTTGTCGAGATCAAATCCACTGTCTTCAAAAAATTTGAGAAAGAAAACCTCTTTCAACTGACCTGTGCCGACATTGTTGAGCGGTTTCAGCTATGGTTGATGCTGATTATAATAGCGTCACGGAATCTCGTCGAAACAGGCGTGTGGTCGTTAGCCGGACCGGACACCTCCAGTGCCAGTGGAGCGGGTGTAATGCCCAAGAGCTTCACCCTGTTCCCCAAATGGACTGGCCAAGTGATCGGGCCATTCCTTCTAGTTCTTGGAAGCGAAATGCTCGTCGACTGGCTAAAGCATGCATACATCACCAAATTCAACAATACCCGCCCAGCTGTATATGAAAGATTCCTAGACGTTCTTTCCAAAGACTACTACTCTCATGTATCCCCCCTTTTTTTCAAACTCTGTCCACAAGCTAATGGTAAGCAGGCGTTCGCCGATCAAAACCTAACAAAGCGGCTTGGCCTGCCGGTGATCCCCCTGGCTTGTCTCTTCATCCGTGCTAGCCTCCAAACGTATCAAATGTTCCTAGCAACACAAGTCCCACTTCCTATGCCCTCAACAACAACCTCTCTGAGCGAATCCCACACATCCCGCACTACAACCGAAGCTTTAACAAACATCGATGTCCTCCTCCGCCGAGCCCTCGGCCATTCTCCGACCTCGCTTCCCACCTCCCTGCCCGACAACCTTGTGGCAACCGCCATGTTATTAATATTCTTTATCGGCTTCTTCCTCGTTTTCCTTGTCCTCAAAATTGTCCTCGGGATATGTCTACTGAGCTTCGCCAGACGAAGGTATAAGGGCATGAAGGACCGGGAAAGAATGAATTTCCTGACCGGCGCCAGAAGGGTAGGCGGGTTCGGCACCATTGAGGTTAATGAGGACCAAAAGAAATGGATTTACGCCGATGACCCCGAGGGGGCAAGTTTAGCACGAGAGAGGGATTCAAGGCCGATCCCACCGGGTCCAGGGTTGGAAACTGTGAAGAGGTATAGCATGGCGGCGAAGAGGATTTGGTGATGGGTACAGATATTCCTGGTGCCCGTTTTTGTCTTTTTCTTTCCTTGTACCATTCGGGGCTTCGATGCATTGTAAAATTCACTTCATCTGAATTTCAAGGGCCAGTTGACTGGGTGTATGTACTATTACGGCAGCTATCTTTCAATTTTCTTGTAACATGGGGCATGCGTCTGTGAGGATACAGCACAGCTGTGGACTCGACGGCAGCAAGAATCCTGATAATGATTTAGTGTTTTCTCCGCCAGTCTTGTGCTATAACTTTTCATGCCCTACCATACCTACTCGTGCCAAGGTTGTGACTAAGCGTCACAACCCCCGGCTGCTCGGTCGCAACCGGGGGCACTCTAAAGAGTGCCCGTCAGCTCAACATGACTTGACAGCTCAACATGACATGTGGCTCAACACAAATTTTTGTGGCTCAATACAAATTTTTGTGGCTCAACACAACTTCTTGTGGCTCATCATTGTGGCTCAACACAACATTGTGATTTAATATAGCTTTATTGATTGGTACAACTTTAACCTTGTAGCTCTATAGAGCTTGCTAGTTCAATTTAATCTTGTAGCTCAATAGAGTCTTATAATTCAATTAGACCTTGAGCTCAATGGAGCCTTATAGTTCAATCAAACATTGAAGCTCAATAGAGCTTTATGGTTCAATTAAAGCTCAAAGTTCAATAGAGTCTTATAGTTTGTTAACCATTGAAGCTCAATAGAATTTTATAATTCAATTAAATCTCATAGCTCAACTTGAATGGCACTTGATAGTTCAATTAAGCCTTGTAGTTTAATAAGGTATTACCATTAAGCCTTATTGTAATTGTATTGGTGAAAATTGTATGTGTAATGACCCTACGTTATAGAGCTATGGCAACCTAAGTCTACGCCCATACATAAGACCAAGCAGTTATATGGTAGACTAGGCGGGCATGCCTGAGCATGTCCGGAAGATACTCGATAGTCCGGGTATCCCGAAGAACAGAAGGTACTTAAGATAAGTGTACCTAAGTAGCGGAAGTGACATGACCATACCGGTTTCGGCCTAAGGATAGGTCGAAAGGCCGGGTGAGCTTACCCTGCCCAGGTAAGTCACGTTACCCTGCCATGGAGACCAGTTTCGTGTCACCATGGACACACTTACCCTACCTTAGGGACACTATTACCCTACCTTCCGTCGGAAATGTTCTCGGAAAGATTCCGTGTAATGTTAGAATTGTTTATTACGCAATGACGATCGACGAGTACTTGCTTGTACATTGATCGGAAGACTACGGGAGGAGCTAGAGTGCTCCGAACATGCTGTAACTTGGCAGGATTATTCCTAACAGATACCTGTGGCCCCAGGGTTCGCCCCGGGCGTCATGGACCAAAATGGGTGAAGTTGCCGTCTTACAAGTTAAATGGAATCGTTGGAGACATGTCCATAACACTGTATACGTCGCCGCCGTCCGTCCGACCGGAGGCTGTTCGCAGGATATATAAGGGGGCCAAGGTGAGGCGGTCAGGTACCTTCTCCCAAAAGAACAGAGTAAAACGGACCAAAACTGACGGAGTTAGCGTGAGCTATCCGGAAGGGTCCCCAGAGTAGTCCCGGGTAGTGCTGGAGACGTCTGGGAAGGTTTTTCGCCAATCATGCCTACACGTGCCCCTTTGCCGTAGGCTCTTTATGGGTTGTTGGAAGACTCTAATAGCATGATACTTATCACGCTGAGTGGTGTGCCGGGGGTAAGGGACCATGGGTACCGCCCACGGGTCCCGCCACCGACACAGCTTACGTGGGAGCGTCGTAGACCCCGTAAGTTCGCAATCAAGGAAGATAGAACTTAACCAGAGAACACCTGATGTCTACGGGTGCTTGCATAGATCATAGCACATGGGAAAAGAGTCATTTAGTTAGCCTTCCTAGGAGTCTTGACAGTTAGCCACTGACGAGACACCGATGCGCAGAGGTTTTCACTCCGGCAGGTGTATTGGTAAACACCTCGCAGGAACTGACGTGCATATGGGAGATTTCTGCTAGAGTGCGCTGACACCTTAGGCCCTTCGGGGATGCGGAAATGGTGCCAGCAACCCTTACGGAGAAGGGCATGCTCATGTTGGTCGGGGCGACCTGATGGGGGAGTTTCTGGTATAAGTCTGACTACTGAAGCTTATACAAGAACTCTCCTGCCCCAATACAATCAACATCCTCTCGAGAGACTTTAATTGAGATAAGCCATAGCTTAACGATATTAAGTTTTACCGTTTACTTTATTCTTTACACTTTACAAGAGTTGTGTTCAAGAGATACGAAGTTTGGTGCGGTCGCATCCTTAGGAACCATCTACCTGAGGGAGCCCCCGTTACAGTATGTAAATCCTATTGTAGAGAATATTTTATTTTATATTTACTTATATAAAAATCAGAGCTCAGATTCTATAACTTATAAGTACTCACAAGCTTTCTTTTCAAATATATTCTACTCGATATCAGTCAAGTCAGTATCTCTCCAAAGCTCAGCTCCAATTGTCTTCTATAAAGTACATTTCCTCTTATCTCTCTTTAAACATGCCTCCAATATGTCCAATAATACTTCCTAGTCAACGTGTTGAATTGAACCTTATAAGGATATTGAGACTAGAATCCAGGCTACTCTCACATCTCTCGATAGATTGGAAGGGGAGACACCAAACCTCAGAGCCTTAGCTCACAAGTACGAAATACCAGTATCACGACTTCGTGCACACTAGCAAGGTGTTCTATCCAAGCAAGATCGGGAGGCCACAAAGCGAAAACTTTCCGAAGATCAAGAATTTGCTGTCTGTCAATATCTCGATCGTCTTGATGCTGTTGGAACCAGTGCTCGTCTTCCCATGGTGTCAGGTTGTGCGAATGCAATTCTTCAATATGGTCATACTGGTCCTTTGCCTGCTCCGGTTGTTGGTGACCACTAGGCACAGCATTTTCTTGCTCGACATCCTGAGTACTCTATTCGAAAACAACATACTGTTGATGTTGATAGAAAGAATGCACACCAGCCAGCTGAAATTCGTGACTGGTTTGAATAATATAAGGCTATTTGTGAGAGATATCATATTGAGGAAGGTGATCGGTACAACTTCGATGAAACTGGATTTCGGATTGGGATTGGATAAGATCAGTGGATCATCACATGGGATCCTTCACAACAGTCATACCTTGGAAGTTCAACCAATCGAGAACTTGTTTCAGTTTGCGAAACAATTAGTGGTGATGGTACTATCCTCCCACCCTTGATTATTATCCCAAGTGTCATTCACCAAGAACCCTGGTATACAGCCACCAGCATACCAGATAATTATCTTGTCAGAACATCAGAGACCGGCTATGGTAATAATGAATTATCAATGAACTGGTTAGCACATTTCGAAGTATTTTCTGAGCAGCGGAGGATTGGAGTTTACAGGCTCTTACTGCTTGATGGATTTGGCTCCCACTGCACTAAGCAGTTTATTGATTACTGTGATAATCATAAGATTATTATATTCTGCCTACCTCCTCACACAAGCCACCTGCTGCAGCTACTTGATGTTGTTGTATTTCAGCCATATAAGCATTACCATGCTGAGGCTGTTGAAGCCACAACCCATACTGGTTGTGGTGAATTCAATAAATTAGAGTTTCTTGATATAATCGACTCTATTCAGCAACAGACATTTAAGCCATCAACAATCCAGTCAGCATTTAAGGCGACTGGACTGATTCTCTACAATCCTGATATTGTAATCTTCAAACTGCGCGAAGCTGTAGCTCGTCCACCTCCACCACATACCCTACCACATCAATCCTCACCAACTGTTCCACTGACAATCTGAAGCCTGAGACGAATGGGAGAAGAGCTGCAGCGGGATGCATGTGATTTGTCTCTGACATTTCAGCGAAGACTAAAAATGGTCCTGCACGATGGATTAGCACAGGCACAATCTGGTGCATTAGCAATGGAACACATAGAGAATACTTAAGCTGCTGAGCAGGCAAGAGCAGCCAGGCACAGAGCTCAGAGCCGCCGGCAAGTACAGAAGGGAGGAGTGATCTATGCCTCAGAAGCCCGTCAAATGGCAAAGAGTCGTGAAGAAGCTGAATTGGAAAAGGCAGAGAAACAGCTCCAGCGAGCTCAAAATGCCAAAAAAAGGTTAGAGAAAGCAGAACGAAAGCCTCTGCTTGATGAGATGAAATTAGAATTCAAAAAGAGACAGAATACACAAGCTTATAAAAAGAAAATATCAAAGCTTATAGTTATGGGAATCAAAAGGCAAGTAAAGTCAGGAAAAATAAATATAAACTAGAATGTTTTACCTACTAGACTTATAATATTATATATCGAGCCACAATCATAAGCCACAAAAAGTGCTGTTTTGAGCCACAAAAAGTTATGTTGAGCCACATGTCATGTTGAGCTGTCAAGTCATGTTGAGCTGACGGGCACTCTTTAGAGTGCCCCCGGTTGCGACCAAGCAGCCGGGGGTTGTGACGCTTAGTCACAACCTTGGCACGAGTATTCGCCTACGGTAGGCGTTTTCATGTATATATCACACAAGTACGATTACCAGTACCACAGAAAATCCTTCCCATACCCCTAGACACGTATCAGGTACGGCATTAAGGCTTGTGTCAGGCAAACTACAGTAGCCGCAGAACCTTACACTGAGGGCTGGTCAGGAGACAGCCTAGCACCCAGGGCCCCTATTATAGGGCCATGAGCCATTACCGCCGTAGGAATTCTAGACACCGCACTCAGACACCTGTCCCTTTTCATCCCTTTGCTCATCAAACATCCTTTCCCCCCTCATTTTTTTCTGAGTACCGCTAAAACCTTTTCCCTCCGAGAAGCGAAGTGGATCTGAGGTCGTAGTCGGTTTATTACCGCTGCCCGAGAACTACACGTCTGGAGAAGATAAAACTATGGATTTATTGTGCCATCGGTGGCTCTTCTTGGGTTCCGGGTTTGAACGTTCTGCTTTCGGAGGGGGTTTTTCTTCCAAAGTTTACCGGTGACTGCCAGTACAGTACTAGTATTACAATCATTTATTGTCTAGGGGATCCCGTCGCTGCAGATTAACTTATTTGTCCGCTCGGCACCGTAGAGGATGCGATGATCCATTTTTCCCCTTACATCCCTTCATTCGTATTGACGGAGTCACGGTCTAGCCCGCCTTTTACCTAAAATGGTATCATGCTAATACTTGTACTCGTGCGTCTCAGCCAAGAGTTGGCACCTGATTTGTCCTAGCGGGTGGCGGAAGTTCTATTCTACTGAAAGGGTATAGCTGACAACTAGTATTGGAGACTAACTATGTGAGGAATTAAAGGTAAAACTCAAGATGAGATGGTAGAATATAATCTTATACAGTCGCACCTCACTTTCCCGGATGGCCAAAATCGAAAGAATTTCAAGTTGTCCAGTACAGCAAGGGATCGTGGTATGGCGGGCAAGGTTGGAATGAAATTCAGAGTCCACCAAGATTCATATGGGACAGCGAGGTATCTGGATTATCATGATCCAGGATAGTGAGCGAGGTGTAACTGTATACTCATACACGATAACTGATAACTGAAATTAAGCATTAAACTTATTGTCCCCTCCCCATGCACGAACCTGTAAGAGATTTAGGTGAAAGTTCATACAAAAGCGGTCAACCAACTCCTGAGGCATTTGATCCCACTCATATTTAAGTGCATCTATTACCTCCTGTCTAGTCCTTTCACTTGTTCCTATAAATCTATACTCCATCATTCTGTCCTTTAAGTAATTCCAACATGGCTCAATCTCATTCAAGTCTGGTGAGTTTGGTGGCCAGTTTGGAATTTGATGAATACCTCTTGCGGCAGCCTCTGCCTGATCCAACTTTGCTGCCAGAGTCTGATTTCCGGCATTATCCTCTACCACCCAACAGTGTCGTCCAGTTTCCGTCTGTATTTGTTGAACAAATGGATAAAGGCGGGCATGAAGAATTTCCTTCCTATAAAGAAACCAATCTAAACCTCCTCTTATACTTCTTCCATGTATTTCTTCCCCAAATTCCCAATATGGATGGCATGGCATATGGCGAGGCTCATTTGGTCCACGATTAGCATTATACTAAGCGATATTTCGATTTAAGGCTTGAAGATAGTCGTATTCTTCGGTACCTGGAATTGTGGCGTTGATCCTTCTCTGTTCTCTCCGCGCAACCCTTTCCTGATTCTCCCGTTCAAGCTCCTCATTATTTGCCCTCCACTCTTCCTCAGTCTCTCTAATCCAGACCTATAAAGGTCCTTTAAACCCAAGTGAAATACTTTCCGATACCATAATACTGAGACCTGATTTCACTTTATCAGGTACAGCACTAGCATAAGGATCTTCTCCTTTATGTCTTGTGACATTCCGAAGCCTTCGAGGAGCTCTTACTTCAAAAATCATCTCATCACTAAAGACGAATGACTCAATTGACTGAGTAAGTCCCCAGTCAACTAGTTGTAAGCGCTTTTGCTTACAAGCAAAATCTAGGGGTGGCTTTGTTCGGCGTTTATAACCAAACAGATTATGATGTCGATTCATCATTCGGTAGGCTGTCACTCGTGAAACATCCACCTCTGCCTCTCGTGCAATTTCAGGAAAGGTCATCAGCCGATGATCAATATCTTGAACGGCAAGGGCTCCCATTCGATTTGATTCTGGTGAACCAGCGGGATATTTTTCTGGGACTGCTGGATTGGGACGAGTTCTATCACCAAGTTCAACTGTGGCTAACATGGCTTGTATAGTCGGTTCTTCGTTTGTACAGCATCCCTATTCACTTGTTACTTATTATTCTATGAAGCCACATATTCGGTGAGAACCCCCACAGGATACCAAGCTTTAAAGTGCAGGTATATTTACTTAAGATCACTAGGACTCGGAACGGATTTTACATACCTCAACTCGGGTGAAAACCTTGCGAACTGTTTCCCGATCGATTTCAAGACAAGCTGAAATTTCAAGAAAACTCATCTTTGCGCACATCCGAAGAGCAATAATAGCTCCTCTGATTGATATGGACAGGCTTCTTCCAGGAGCCATCGGGGATGGAATTTTGTCGGTGTGATGGTTTCTCGCCACAAATTTCTGAGTACTCGAGTATCCAAGACTCTCTTCACCCCTACCGTATTAGCTAAACCTTCAAACTAGTTGCACACTATCAAAAACTATACCTGTTGAGTAAGATGGAGCTTCCGCCACCTGCTAGGACAAATCAGGTGCCAACTCTTGGCTGAGACGCATGAGTACCAGCCGATCCGAGCAAACTTCTGGTACGGCACTAGTAGATCCCCCGAGCTAGAAGCGTTTGCTAGAAGGGCCACGATCAGAAGACCTCAGCCATGCCCCCACTCTCTCCCCCAAGCCCAGCAGTATTCCACTAGCTCTCGGGCTAAGATTCCGTGAAATTCGGCATACGGTGCTCGAGTACGAACGAAGGGATCAGGTTAGGCTGCCGGTAGTCTATCGGGGGGCCGGGGCGTTCCGTGGACTAAGAGCCTGCCGTGTACCCGGGCAAAGTCTCGCGAGTACCGTGCCATAAATCTGTGGGTATTCAAGTACCTTCTGGCATGAGATAGATTCCCCTCCTGTTGCAATAATTCCGATCTATCATACTTGTAATATTTAGTCGCGTTGCATGCTCATAATGCGAGCCTGTTGCTATGACGTAGTTGGAACTGATAACAAGGTTGGTCGCAGATAAAAAACCTGCTTAAGGGTAAGATGTCCCTACCGATATTCAAGCAGGGTGGTACGGTACTACTCGAGTAGAGTACTTGTTCAAGTATAAGACCTGAAGGAATGTATTAGGACACCCGTCACCAGCATTGTGGATCGTCCCTCGAATTTTCCAGCCGCCAGTTCAATTCCAACCCGGAGAACCACAGGCTTGGCAAGCACCCCTCCCAGAGTCTATCTCAACCTCATCTCGACACAGCTACTCTAGTACAACGACCCTTCGATGTCGTTCAGCCGTCTTCCAAACGAACTTATCCTTACAATCAGCGGGCACCTCGATGATTGTGCTATTGCAAAACTCCTCCGAGCGAATAGGGGACTATGTTTCCTCCTTACCCCAGTTCTCCACCAGCGTGCACCGATTCCTCCCGGTAGCGGGGCGATGACAAGATTGCAATGGGCAGCACTTCGTGGACATGTACCGCTAGTGAAGCTCTTACTTTCAAAAAGAGTGGGTTTGGACAGCGAAGGAAAGGTCGATCCAGAAGCTCTCCGAGGCGCGATAGCATCCGGCCACGATCAAATATCGTTCCTTCTTCTCCGGGCGGGAGCTAATGTCACCAGGACTGGGTTCCGAACTGGAACGCTAATATATCACCTCCTATATAACCGAACTTCATCCCGAAATGTACGGCGACTCTTGCGCATGCTTAAAGACCGCGGTGCAGATTTCTCGGCCCCGGATTTCCTCGGAAAAATACCTCTGCACCGAGCAGCTCAGGAAGGCGACGTCGGGGGAGTAAAGCTCCTTTTGCGATTAGGCTCTAATCCAAACTCTCGAACCGCTGACGGGCAAACCACGCTATTCTTTGCCCATGGTAGCCAAAAGATCATTAGGCTCCTCGTTGAGGCGGGTGCGGACCCGAATATCAACAGCGCCAGTGGGGAGACACCGTTATATAGGGCGTGCAGGTTGGATCAATTAGGAAGCGCTCGAATTCTCATTGAATATGGTGCGAACCCCCGCGGAAATGACCCACTCTTCAGACCCATTTTCTCGAGACCCTCCCCAGATCTAATCGAACTACTCGTCTCCCACGGCGAAGACATCCACGCGGAGGACGTCACCGGCTTATCCCTCATTCACCGCGCCGCGCAAGGGCCATACCCAGCGGTTCTAAAGAAGCTATTAGACCTGGGAGCAGATGCCAGCCACCGGAATCACTGGGGCGTTACACCATTGCACCTCGTTGCGGCATCAGAGGACAAAGGCCAATGCACACTTATGCTCATAAATGCGGGCGCTGAAGTTGACTGTCCCGACAACGGCAAATCTACCGCGCTGCATTGGGCAGCTAGTCGTGGATGCTATCTCCCCGCAGCAGTATTGCTGGCAATGGGCGCGGACTTTACAGTCCTGGATAGCGAAGGTCGCTCGCCGTTAGATCGCACGTTAGATCGGCGCTATTCGAGGGACAAGGTCGTCGAGACAATCTTGCGCGGGTCATGGAAGAGGCATCATGGGCGGGAGATGGTGCCGGCGTATAGCGAGTTTGATGACGGTATACCTGGAAGCTACGGTCACCCACTGTACCTCTAGGGTTGGGCTATTTGTGCTGTGTGGTACATGGATAGCTGGGATCAGTGGCCAAGCCAAGTAGACCAGATTTAGCTGAATTGTGCCTTTCAAAGGTGTGGGCTGGCCGTGCGTGTGGTAATTGGGGATCCCGCCCTTTCTCCTCCTCTTTGTATTCGCGGACTGCGACGTGCTTGGTCTATTAATACGGGATTAGCAATGATCGTGATTGAGTGTGTCTAGGCCGGGTCACTGTGGTTGTTAAATCAAGTATTATAATGTCGATTAGAAGCGTCTAGGAATTATAACTTCCGTACGGGGCCGGCGGGGTTTTACTGGCCCAGGACTATTAGAGTTACTTTAGTTATATCTACCATCAGGACATATATATGTTGTCGGCGATGCCATAATTCCAGGAGGTGTTTTCGAGTTATGAAACCTACTGTACCTGAGTTCCCGCTCTTGCCGACGCCCCTCCCCCCAGGAGAGGTAGCATACTTGATACCACGAACACTCTGTCCGCGTGAGGGAAGTTCTATAGCACTCTCACAGCGCCGCGCGGGATTCCAGGAGAAACTTCGAAATTCGTCAGTGTCGTCGTGCAGATATATTATAAGCACTATCCCACCGGGAAAATATCTCTCTCTCAGCCAAGAGGAATCCCCCACGCCAAGCAGACCACTTTCCGTGCAGGATTCCCCACTAGAAGAGTGAAGCTGGACCTATCCTAGTCAGCGAGCGAATGGCGGGTGGTATCCGATGTCAGTAGAGGCCCGCCCGGAGATACGCACGGTTGTAGAAAAAACTACTTTTTTTAATCCCTCCCGATCGTTGTAGCTTAACGTGCAATGTTTACTACCCCCTCGGTAGTGATCCGTTTCTGGCGTTATACCCACAACACCGAGAAAGCTCGAATACTCGAACCATATGCTACGGGGTTGAGAATTCCATACTCTAGAAAAAGGTGGCTAAAAACGCGGTGAAAACGCGAACTGTACGGTACCCCCCACCCCCCCCTGAGAAACATGAAAAAATAAAAAAATAATTCTGGACCTTACCGGAGGAGGTGACTAGCGGCACAACACACGGTTTGATTATTCGAGTTTTGGCGAAGTGAATTATTATTATCGGACGGAAATGTACGATGCACTGGGTCCAAGAGTGCAGTTGAGAGAGTTATTGAGTACCGGTATGAGAGGTTGGATTGTGATTGTGGTGGTGGAAAGAGAGGTGGAAGGCGTTGCACCGACAGTATGATAAGAAGATGGGTGAAGGTGCGGTAAGAACACGGGTGGGGAGTGTGGTGGTGGTGGAAAGGTAGGTGGGAGGAGAATCATGGAATATCAATCGGATGGATAAGCATCTGAAACCATAAGTTAATTATGATCTTGGAATCATACGGCTATTTTACATCCCGATTGGGATAAGCTGATATTTCCCTGTTCGGCGGTATCCCACAGAGGGGATGGCCCGCTTGGCCACAATTGATAACCTCCTCCCGAAGAATAAGGCATATTATCACTACGCTGGACTGTTCCGCGAGAAAAGCGAAGTAAATTCTCAATGTGCCCGAGAAAGCAGGATATACTGCACTTAGTTCGTAGAACAACGCTCAATTCCTTCAGGCACCAAGCCCAATATTTCGTGATATCCCAGAGCATTCAGCAATTTCATTCCATACCCGTCCTACTTCAGAGCTATCATACCGCTCACTGTAGGTCACGGCTTGAACCCTCAGTAGAGTATACCAAAGACTGAAGTTCCCACCCTCTCCCGACCTTCCCCTACGTACCATACCATCACCACCGAACCAAAACCCAACCGATAAAACCTTTCTCCGTATTTCCATTTTCAAAAAAAGTATGATATAAAACCCAGAATCCTCCTATCCTATTACGCGGTGTGGAAAAAACCCCAACTAACCCCCACCCCCCCCCCCAGATACCCACAATGATATCCTACCAAATGACGAAACTTGCCACTCGCTTTCCTCCCCCTCCCTCTCCTCCAACCCCAGGAGTCATCCATTTCGCGGATATAAGGTCTGGATTTTGTGTCGCGAATCGCAGGGCCTCCATCGCCGGTTCAGAAACACGACTCCAAGGGTTTGGGTACTGGCGTGTAAAGTGGGCTATGGTGAAGGGGTGGGCTGGTGTGCTCGTTTGGGGCGTTGGAGAGTGGTTCAGTGAGTGAGTAGTTGTGTTTTCCCTGCTGTGGTCTGGATAATTGACTCATTGGGTAGGATCTGGGACGCTGCGGTGAGGTTGTGGAGAGGGGGGTTTTGAAGGAGATGGTTGCGGGGGTTATTGATGTTAGAGCGAGATTATTGACGGTTATTTATCTGCGGAATAGCATGGGTGTGCCTTTAGCTAGAGCACTGTCCAAGCTACCCGCCCCCCCCGCTTATCCCCTCCCTCCGCACGGAAGTTTGCTTTGTGGGTTTTGTTTTCATTCTATATTCCCGAGGTCAACCTAGAGTACTATGTTTCTTTAAAACATTATGGATTTGTGAAATTCTTTTCCAAGAACCTACTTATCCCAGCTAGTTCTATACTCTGCTATTTTCTCTTAGCTTACTTAAGTGGTCGGCTATGTCCTGGAGGCTGTCGCTGCTATTGCGCTTACTCTGGAAAACTTTCACCCCCTGAATACAAAAAAGAAATTACTCAGCATTGCCAAGCGGGGTGTTACTCTATTGTAGAAACGGCTTCTGAACTTGGGCCTCTGTTCACAGCCTACATAGATACTATACTAGGTAGGGAGGTAGTAAATGGCCGGAATTACTCTTAATTCTTTCTCCGTGTTTGGCCTCTCACCCCTTTCTACCACCTCCTCAGGGAAAATAGTCCGAGTGATCGTTAATGTCCACACCCACTAACTAACAAAAACAAAACCAATCCCTGATCAAAAACCCTCAGCTGCCGTTAGATGGTATCAAGCTAAGATGTGCAATATTCCCCTCTTTTTGCCAAAGGCGGGGGATCCTCCCGGGAGAAAAAGACTTTCAGTTCTCCAATAAAACTTAGGGCGGGGAAAATAAACCAGAGCACACTAGGAGAGGCGACTAGAACCTTCCAGCAGTCCGGCTTTCTGGGGCCCTATAGCACTTACTGTCGCAGTGAGGCATTATAGGCATCGTTGCGATCGGCCCTAATCCAAGGCTTAGATTCTTAACTCGTGCTTTCCTTTACTTCTTCGATGCTGGCTCTGGCGTGGGGAGTAGACGCCGGTCGTGGGATCGCTCGCCTGGGCAGTTTGGAACCAAAGCTTCGGGTCGGAGCAGCGTCCCTGCGTCGAGTAGGTGCGGCGGTTGGAGGAGTCTCGCGGTTGGGAAAAAAAAAAAGACCGTGCTGGTTTTTCGAGTCGAAAGACCTTGCTTTTGCTAGCGTTTTCTCGCATACTGCCACTAACCAAGAATAACTGAGCTCATCCCGATAGCAGGGGGAATGCTTTCACGGAATCTCCTAACTAACCGAGACTACAAGTGGCCTGTTTGAAGTCGCGTTTCCATTCATGATATCGGGGTTCTTGGCATGGCAGATGAGTATTCTCATTGCACATAACTTGATGTAAACGGATGAGCACAATATCAATTCCACATTCGTAGAGACCCAGATGTAGCTTTCATGAAATCTTGAACGGTGTATCCTGTGTGGTGTCAACAATAATCATGATGGCTAACGATTGGTTAAGTGACTTAAAATTGTATTTTGTAGTCTTAAAAATGGATCTTTTCTTACTGGTCACCACTGCTATGATCTGCTTGTCCGGGATTTCAAATTTCCCATATAAAATGCCGGTTTTCCCATGCCAAGAACCCCCATACCATGTATGGAAACGCGACTTCAAACCGGTCACTCGAGTATGGGTGAGAATCTCTACCGTGAGCGGTGCTTATTAAGCCGGAAACTACACCAATTAGTTAGTGAATCTATCTCCCTCCTACCTACGGGTTTGGAAGTAGGGATTTCGTGAGGCTGCCGCAAAAAAATCGTCAAACCTACTATTTGCCAGCACCGAGGAGCTCTTCCCGTTGCCACCTGTAGCAGTTCAATTATTTTTGATGGAAATTCATTCGCGATAGATCAACCCGAAGGGTGGGGGGGGGGAACAAAGCCGTTCCAGCCATGAGCCTGAATACCGCTATTATCGCCTACCATGCACAGATGACCGTGCTCACGAAAACGTCCAGTTTTCAGATTTGGCAGGTTTATTTCACCGGTCACTGGTGGCTAGTGTCCACGACGGTCCGGGTGGTTATTTTTCAGTCTCGTGGAACAACTCCGGGTGGTGGTAGTGGACTCCAGATTTTGCCGCGAGAACTGCGGGGGCCGGTTGGCGCCTGTGGGAATATGTGGGGGGCCAAAACGGACTGCGGGGGGCCGCGGAGGACTGTCAGTTGTCGGGGAGTCGGTGTATTTTAACGAATTAATAGCAAATGACGAGAGGGGACCACGGGAGGTACTGGCCTAGTAGCGCATAACATAATATGCACACTGCTGTAGAGTTCAGGATCTTCCAACTTCTCCCCCGCATCTCTTTTTGTTTCGGTTATATAAGGGTCGCCGGATAGTGTGGGTCAGCTGACATAAAATAAAAGGTCAAGTTATTCGCCTTCTTTTATAATGTGAAACCATATCAGGGCAGGAATTTTGTGCCGGCCTATATCTCGTGAGAAGTTAGTGAACGAGCAATGGTACTTACCAATGTTAGCGAGCAAGTCTTGTTGGTCCCACGAGCTTCCCGAACAGTCCTCCTCCGCAAGTTTCTCCGACATGCTTCCTCGGCGGCCCTGCGAGGCCCCAGGTTCTAGGAAATCGTGTCGACCGGTAGAATAGCCCACAGCCTCCCTTGTTCTTCAACCAAAGTCCTTGGGGAAAAATTCAGCCAGGACGGGAAGGAATATGAAATGTGGTCCGTCACCCCACTACCCTTAGGACAGGTGGACTGCGCTTTTACGAACAAGTTAGATTTCTTAGGCCGCCTGCTCACATTCGATCGGGCGGGCATTCCCTACGGCGGTGATGTAGTAGTGCTAAACTTTACTGCTTCGCGCCAAATATTTGGTAACACCGGTGGCTGTAAACCGATACCATCATGTGTAGTGTGTATGGTCGAATTTATCAAATTGTCATATAGCAGGACACTGCACAAGTTGGGTGACCTAGAATTATTCAAGACCCCAAAGGGACCTTATCAACTTCACGAAACCAAGTAGATCGGGAAAAGCGGCGGAGCTCCTGCAGTCCACTTTTCTTCCCCCGGGCAGAGTTGGCTTTCAACCCTACAAAATACGGCGATGAGTTCGATGCATCTCCTTCTAGTGTCCTACAAAGGATATCACCGTTAGCAAATTTTCAGCGTATTGTAGGAAAGCTCAGCACTCCACCTTT